TGGCAGAATAATTTGCATATTCCCTCTCTCTCTCTCTCTCTCTCTCTCTCTCTCTCTCTCTCTTATTACTTTATATAATGTGTGATGGTTTTACAATATATCATATTTTATGAAGTAATCATGTCTTGTTTATTAAAACTTAATCTGTGAAGTAACTAAACTTAGTAACTCCAGCTGATAAATGTAGTGGAGAGGGAAGAACAATATCTCCCTCTGAACTGCAGTGGAGTATACAGATATCATACCAGAAAATGACTTTGGTAGAAGTTAAAGGCACCTTTTAGAATATTACTCGAGTCAAAGCCTTTAAGGTATCTCATATTCACTGTACTTAAGTATCAAAAGTCATTTTCTTAAAATAAATGTACTTAAGTATATGGAAAGTGAAAGTACAGGTAAATGTTGTTGATATAAAAAAAAGCTGAATTTTGAGAAAAGGTTTATTCTATAGGCACGTACACCACCTTTAAAACTGGACTATTCAGCTGTACACTCCTGTGTTATATGTTTGTATATTGTCCTGTGTATGTGTCTGATGTGATAGTTTGTTGTGTATAATTCATGTGAAGTGGCTGCTTTGTAACAGAGCTGTGAAAACAAATTTCCTCCACTGAGGACAATAAAGAATGGATCTGGAATCTGGACTATTTAGCTTAATGTTAAGGAATTCCTTGGTATATTCGTGCCTCAGTTTGAGACAGACTGCCAACCGATACCATCTCACATCCCAGGCGTGTCTTTAGCTGCTCTTGGTTAAACAAACTATACGTGACTGCTTCCTTGTTATTTGGTTTTTAAATTATATGACACAGTCGCTTTTTCATGGACACTATACAGGGAAACGTGTATGAGGAAACAGGTCTGGCAGCAGCAGAAACTGTTGCCATCTGACACACTAGGTTTGAGCGCAAATCACAAAGCACTCATTTTGTACTCGCCCACGTGATTGACCAATGACTTCTGAGAGAGGAGAGACTGGGTTTAAACTTTGCTCACAAACAGCAGTGTTGTTTATTTTAGCCCATTGGCATAAATAGAGGGAGGAGAATGAGGAGAGAAGTAAGAAAATAAAGATAGACAGAGGATAAAACAAACTTCATGTTGCACCATTCATCCTTCTCTACTAATAACTGACAGAAAAAGAGTCTCATCTTATAAAAAGAATGTGGTTTACATCAAAGGAGCAGCAATTCCCTTATTTAAACTAAAGTTACTTTTTCGGTCATAGATCAGCAGGCAGTTCTGCAGAAATCTGAGCATCATGTGGACAGTCTGGTGTTCACCGTCCGCAGCAGCCTGGAGCCTCGCACCTCCACCTCCATCACCACCTCCACTGCAAGCCAGGATTTTAAAGCTCCAGTACAGGTTAGCACAAAAAATGTCATTCAATTAAATGTATGTATTCAAAAGATACATACATTTCCATTTACAGTTTCTCATTTCATAGAGTTATATAAAACTAATAAGGCTGTATATTCCATCATAAATGCTGTACTTATAATCATTATATAACAGCTTTGTTTGAACAACTCAACTGTTTTTAATGGGGGGGGAATTAGACTAGTAAATTGTTTTTTTCAACGCAGAGCCCACAGTCCATTCCTGCAACACTTCCACCAAGTGGTGAAGAATATGAACTACGACTTGATTCTTACCTCCTTCGTTACCTAAAGGAATGTCCTAAGGCGGAGAAAGACCTCAAGGAAGGACTTGCCTCTGTGGCCTGCTCTGCCCAGCTTTACCCAGAAGAAGAGAGGGTTTTAGTCAGGAGTTTAGCTCAACCTGGTGCTGTAGATGAAAATAGATATTGGAAAGCTGAGGTAGACAAACTCTTTACTCGCTACACTTGCCACTATGAGACGGACCCTCACAAAATTAAATCTTTGCTTCGGTCCTGCAGCTCTCGTCAGACCACAGATGAGGTGAAGGTGTACACCGAGTTTGGGTTTGCTGTTGTTGTTGGGGAACGTTCTCAGGTGAAGGCCAGGTTGATGGATGTAGAGGACAGGTCACGTTTAGGTGAGAAGACGACCACTATTCGCCGACTGGGAGAAGCCAAACTCCGTCTCCTCTGGAAAGAGATTGAGCACAGTTTGGGACAAGATTTTCCAGGTGTGAAGGTCATGCAGGGAGATGCAGGTCAGTTAGTTTTGGAAGGTTCTGTGGAGGAGATTCTAAAGGCTGGAGAGTGGATCGCTGATAAAGAGAATTTGGTGTTAGAAAGGAAAGTTTCTGACATAAGCCCACGTGTTTTGGCCTCCTTAAAGAATACTTATGGTGGACCAGGGGCACTAGGGGACTTTTTAGGAGTTGGTGACAAGGTGGAAGTGGAATTACGAGACACAGAGCTACGTTTATTCTCCCTCTCTGCTGATAATCTTGATGAAACAGAAAAAGCATTGCAAGGTGCAATCAAGGAAGTAAAAGTAAATGTGGCACAGAATTTGGCATCTTTGAATTTGAGTGAAGAAAACATAATAGTTGCCAGTTACAGCCTTTGTGATGGGCTCCAGGTGCTGGTGTGTCAGGGTGACATCACCAAACAGGATGCTGATGCTTTGGTCAATGCTGCCAATGAAGATCTGGACCACTGTGGCGGTGTTGCTGCTGCACTGAGTAAAGCAGGCGGCCCTGAAGTACAGATGGAGAGCAATGCCCTAATAAAGTATATTGGGAAAATTCCTACAGGTGATGTGGTAGTGACCACAGGGGGTAACTTAAACTGCAAGAAATTGCTGCATGCTGTTGGGCCTGTAGGTGGAAATGCAGGTGGCAGAGAGAGGATCTTACTGCAAAAAACTGTCCAGTCTGCTCTGGATTTATCAGAAATCATGGGGTTCAACTCCATAGCCATGCCCTGTATCAGCTCAGGTGTGTTTGGTGTTCCTGTCAATGTGTGCTCTGAGGCTATTATAAGTGCTGTAAAAGAGTTTGGCAGTCAGGGAGAGCGAAGTCTGAGCAGAATTATCCTGATTGATAACCGGGAAGAGGTGGTGAGGTCCATGCACAAAGCATGTGACAGACTTCTCCAAGGGATAAACACTGGAACTAGTGCACCAAGTGATCTGGGTTTCCAGGTGGATGCTGCTGCCCTCGACACATCAAGAGGAGCCACTGCTGGAGCTGAAGAAAGTGTCCGTCTAGAGATCATTCAAGGAACCATCGAGGACCAGCAGGTGTGAAACCTTTGTGAGATTTTAAGAAAATATATCAAACCTTTTCATACTTTTTCATTGTGTCTCAGTTATTGTATTGGAAGATAAGAAGAACTCAGTGTTTGCTTACCGTGCCGATGCATAAACTTACCAGATGGACGATTTTATCTCCTGTTCTCCTCCTAGGTGGATGCTGTGGTATCACCCATGGTTGGCCATGATCCTCTCTCTACCCGTGTTGGAAACATTTTGTACCAGATGGTTGGATCTCAGCTGACTGCAAGGTTCGGAAAGGAAGCAGGAGAAGAAACGTTGCCTGGTGACATAGTCCTGGTGGAGGGCTTGCCTGGACTTTCATCTAATGCTGTTTTCTTCATCAACCTTGTTCCCTGGGATGATGATGAAGATGGAATTGCAGTTCAGGTGAAATTGCTGAGTGTTTTTCAGTTGTGTCTGTGTGAAAGAATACTTTGTCAGAAGCCATTTTGTACGGTATTTGTTACGTCTAGCCTTAAAAATAATTGATTTCTGACCTTGTTCCAGGTTCTGAGACTGGGCATCAGCAACATCCTGACTTCCTGTGAGAATAGAGGGTTTGGATCTGTGGCTCTCCCTGTACTTGGGGCTGGAATAGCCCTGTGTATTCCTGACACCTTGGTAGCCAGGGTTCTGCACGAGGAAGTTCAGAAGTTTGAGCAGAACCGCAACAGCAGAACACCATTGCTGGTCAGCGTTGTCATCCACCCCAGTGATGAAGAGTCAAGAGAGGTAATGAAAAATGCATTTTCTACAGACCAACATTTTTTGAAATATCTTGCTTTATGATAATGTGTGTGATTCATAGAGTGTGCTGTGATACGGGCACAAATGCCACATCTGTTTAATGAAAATGCATACTGCCTTGAATGTAAATCTCACAGTTGATTAATGTTAAAGTAATAGTATAATCAGTTGTATTTTAAAACCGTTGAGCAATAGACTAGAATTGGTATTAAACCCATCATATACTTTGTTGTCTCTAAAGGCCTTCAAGTCACCCGAGGAAGCTTTCCAACCAAAAGAACTCACAAAAGAAGTTTACCAACCAGACCAAGGTAGATATTATATTGGGATCCAGTCCTGTGGCACCCATTTTCCATGTTTATAAGTGCATTTGTTGTCAATTGCCACCCGCATCAAAATGTTGTTCTTCTTCTACAACCAAGAAAAAATTTACTTAACACAGTCACTCTATCTTTTAGTTTCAGCTACAAAGAGGATCGTCCTGCTGGGAAAAACTAGAGCTGGGAAAAGCCACCTAGCTAACACCATATTTGGAGAAGATTTGTTCACACCTAACCATTCTCCAAACTCTGGAACAACTGAATGTCAAGCAGAAACCAAATCTGTCAATGGAAGAAGCATCACTTTGATTGACACTCCTGGTTTCTTTGATGCAGAAAGGCCTGAGGAGGAGCTAAAGCCTGAGATAGTGAAGTGTATCACAGAGTGCGCTCCTGGGCCTCATGCTTTTCTCATTGTGCTTAAAGTGGAGAAATTCACAGAGCATGAGCAGGCTGTCATCACTAAAATATGCCAGTATTTCTCTGAAGATGCTCTAAAGTATGCTGTAGTTGTCTTCACTCATGGTAACCAGCTCCCTAAAGGGATGAACATTGAGGACTTTGTGCATCGGAACAAACATCTGAGTGATCTGGTGAAGAAGTGCGGAGGCCGGTTCCATGTCGTTGATAATAAATACTGGAATAACAGTATGCAGAATAACTACAGGAGCAACCAGTTCCAAGTGGAGGAGCTACTCAGCACAATAGATAAGATGGTAATGGAAAACAGGGGAGGGTACTACATCAACAAGATGTTAGAAGTAGTGGAGAAAGAAATACAGAAAGAGATAAAGCACATAAAACAGTCATCAGGAAACATGCCAGAAGGAGAGATCAGAAAACAGGCTAAAACAAAAGTTTCTAACAGGTTTATGATCCAACTGGCAGGTATTGGAACAGGAACATTGGTAGGAGCTCTTTGTGGTTTGGCAGCGTTGGTTGGATTAGCTATCACAGCTATGCAGAGCGTAACAGTAATGAAACTTATGAAATGTACAGGAGCCACTGCAGCAGTAGGAGGAGAGGTAGCAATCGCTGCTGGAGTCGGTGCAGCGACAATAGGAGGAGTAATGGGTGGTATGATTGGAAGTTATGCAGCTGAGAAAGCAGAAACACCAATGGAGGCAGCACAGATGGCATACAATGATGTCATCAACAAAGGAAAAGATGCAATAAATCAAATACCGAAGATGTTTTCATAACTATAATGTATCAAATGACAGTCTGAAAGCACTGTGACAATGTGCTGGATGTAGATCATATGTCAATGCTGTGTTCACAACTTTAACTATGATGTTATGCAGCATTGACCAATATTTTAGCCAATTGAGGGCAGCTGAACAAACCAAAAACAAAAATCACATATTATCTTCGTTGAAAGTTTTTATGCTTTTCTTACCTTTTTACACATGGAGCAGACACTGAGCAACATTAGCATTTATTTGGAGTTGTGTTTCTGGCCACCTGGTGAATGTTTATGCGACATTGATTCTCCTTTTGGCACTCTTTTTGTCTACACCGACTCCAGAGAGAAATAGCTGCTCTCTAGGCTCTAAATGCCCCATTGTGTTCCCCACCTAACCACTACCTTTGCCATTTGGTGGTGAACAGGAAGCCTACAAAGCTTGTTGCTAAAAACCTCAGCTGTCTGATGAGGCTAGAGACATGATTGATGAGAGTTTGCTGGCCAGAAAACCAAAACAATGAGTACATTGTAAAAAAAAAAAGAAGATTAATACAGCTTTAACTAAGGGGAAGAATGTTTGGTGCTGACAACCTTGATGAAACTTTTGTTTATTCTGATAAGTCAAATCTCTTATTACTCATTTGTGAATTACTGAATTATTAAATAATTCAATCTAAGTGGGTAGCAGTGGGCTAATTTATATATATTGGTAATGTGTAAAATAAATGTATATGTAAAAGTAATTATCTGACAGTGGTTGTTTGAATGTGGAATCTCAATAACTTTGAGGTGTTATGTGATGATCTCTTTCTGTATGTTAAGCCCTTGTTTATTTTTAATAAACCTGATTTGCCACAATGAAAAGCATCGATTGCTCACAAGATTTTCGTCCATTTGTCCTTTTTTTTTTCATTATGGGGCCGTATGTCTGACTGTTTTTTCTCTTTGTAGGATTTCTATTCTTCTCTATTTCCCTGCACCTGGAAGCTTTGATCAACAGGGGGCTCCCCAATGCAGGAAAAATACTAACGTTTAATCAGATGCCACTGGAACATATTCTGTCACATCCTGTAAAAAGGAGGTGTATCAAGTGCACTAGCAATGCCAGCATCTGTGAAACCTCGTACCATGTTTTATTATACAATGAATGTAGTTATGTCTGTTTTTGTAATGAAATACCTTTCCTGCTTCCACAGGGAGGTCAGAGGCCAAATTACAGTGCTGCTATGTAGTGATAGGGTGTCTCTGTTAAAGCTGCTTCTGAAAACTTGTTGACACAGATCATTTAACTGTGGATATACAGTATATTGTCCCCGAATCACAAAGTATTTATTTAATTTAGCATTCCCTTTCACAGATTACGGAACAAAAATGATGCACTTGTTTGGTTTCACTGATTTAGTTGAAGTTTAATTATTTTGTCTTGAATGTAGGTGAACAATTTGATTCATCCTGTCTGTCTGTGATATTGTATATACAGTAAATCTTTTAATCAAATGTAAAAGCTTTGAAATATTATTTATTATTAGTATTTTCTTAGATGTTCCCCTAATTTTGTGTCCTTGTCAACATTGCACATTGTAAATATCTTTCCTGTATAGTTTTAGATCTTTATTATTTATATGTCAAAAGGTACTTGATTTTTTGTGTAATTTTTATGCACCAAGGCAAATTCCTTGTACGTGTAAAACTTACTTGGCAATAAACCCGATTGTGATTGTGATTGTGATTCCGACAGTAGTACACGAGGGCTCTTTTGTGGACTTTTTTAGCTTTTTATGCACTCTTTCTTAGCTTCACAATGATACAGACGTTGCTTAATGGAATTACCCACAATCAGTTTAATATCATTTAAAAAGAATCCACATGTATTTCGGAAGCTATTTTGCATTTGCCATTCCAGGAATGAATAAAGATGCATTTAACTGAATCAAAATTAATATTGTGGATTATTTTCTCAGCCTTTGAAAGATCCCTTCAGATGAAATTATACAACAGTCAACTAATCTTGATGTGTGAAATTGGTGTCTGCCCCTTTAACACGGTTTATCTGCGCACACAGGTGATATCTATTAAAAAAGGGGGAAGCAGCTCTGTTTAGCCCCACCTCTCCCGCATGGAGCAGGGAGTCAGCTCTTTCTTTTCAGACACACTGAAACTCAGTGACACCTGTGTTTTTATGCAACTGGTTGTCAGTGAAATGGCTGGGACGCAACAACATCAGCAAGAGGAGCAACAGTTCTGCTGCTCAGTGTGTCTGGATCTACCAAAAGAGCCAGTTACTATTATCTGTGGACACAGTTACTGTAGAAGCTGTATTGAGGGTTGCTGGGACCAGGAGAATGGGAAGGGAGAGTACAGCTGCCCTCAGTGCAGAGAGACCTTTAGTCCCAGGCCTGTTCTGAGGAGGAACAACATGCTGGCTGAGGTAAGGTGAATTATAGTACTAAAATGTGTTTGGACCTGCTCTTACTTGTACTTAACAGTATTCATCTACATGGCAGGTGCATAAATGCTATTTCTTACTTATTCCTGTAAACGTATAATAGTTATCCCTGTTTTTGTGTAACCCTTATGTGTTAAATGTAGGCAAAGCTTCTATTGGTTATTTTAGGGAATATTCACTAATATTTTTATCATTCTATTAACTAATAGACATATATCCTGCTTTGGCATCCAGCTGGAGACTGCTAAATCATCTGGGCCAGTGTTAGGCCCAAATCAGCCTTTAGCCTATATTATCGGCGTATGTCCACCGAATAACATAAAGATGTCAGTGCGGGAATACCAAAGATTTATGTAAGGTTATTTTGAAATTGTCGCTATTGCTTACAGTTTGTTTAACAGAGAGCACTAACTTATAACTTACTTAACTCATAAAAACTTAACTTTTTTAACTGCATAATGGCTCTGCTCAGTAGATTGGCCACACTTCTTTAATTGAAAATAACAGTATGTGTTACTTATTTTCTGTTTGTTTTTTTACTGGTATTATGTTATTTAATTAAAATATCTGCCTCACAAATCCAGTATCGTCAGGCCATGGTATATGCTTTCTCAATAGATCTAATTTCTCCCCAAAATAATTGGTAATCAATGATTATCCTCACTACTACTACTACTACTACTACTACTAATCGTCCCTAGCTTGTGGAGAAGCTGAAGAAGACGAGCGCCCCCCTGGCTGCTGCTGTGGCCTGTGCCGCCCCGGCAGATGTGGCCTGTGCCGCCCCAGCAGATGTTGCCTGTGATTTTTGCTGTGGAGCCGGACAAAACAGAGCCACAATGTCTTGCCTGACGTGTTTGGCCTCTTACTGTCCAGCTCACCTGGAGCCGCACTACAGCGTTCCTGTGTTGCAGAAGCACCAGCTGGTTTCAGCTACAACCCCACTGCAGCAAAAGATGTGTATGAAGCACGACAAGATGTTGGAGGTCTACTGCCGGACAGACCAGCAGCTTGTTTGCTCTCTGTGCACTGTAGAAGAGCATAAGCACCACAAGACGGTTCCTATCTCCGTACAGAAGGATAAGACGGAGGTATCAACAAAGGCATTCACTTCTCTGTCCACACTTTCAAAGTCTCTATCTATCTCTCTATCATTCCAAAAGCACACCTGGCTATAAAACGTAGTAATGACTAACGACTATGTTCACGTTTGTACTCCTTTGCTAATAATCATGCTCTCTTCCTTCCAGAAACGTCTGGTTTTGAGTCAAAAGCAAGTCCAGCAGAGAGTCCAGCAGAGGGAGAAGGAGCTGAAGGAGCTGAGCCAAACTGAGGAGAATCTCAAGGTATAAAATGTATTCAGTTTTGTATGAGTGTGTAAATGGGGTGTATTATTAATCTTGATTTATTGCAAAATGCTGAGGATAATCAGGAATACCACGTTTCCCCTAGGCATGTTTTAAATTACATTTCTACAGTCAGTATCATGAGACAGTGTATGGACATAAAAATGTCAGGTTGTATTTTAGTCTTAAATGCAGCTTGTAAGCTTGCTTTTTAACCTGGAGTGAATTCTGATCATTGGCACCTAGCTTAAAGAATTTAGGGCGTATGTTGGCCTGGAAAATGGGGGGGAAACGCAGGCAAGCATTCATTATAAGCTGTAGTATAAAATGTTATACAGTTATGATGCACTAGCCAAAAAATAAAAAGTTTTTATCTTGGCACTTGGGAGGTCAAAGTTCAGAACTGGCTTGTGAACAGTGCCACTAATTGATTGATTGAGAATTTTATTTCAAACTAAACTAAACTGAAGCTGCACGTTTTAAATAAAGTGAGACAAAATCAGTAAAACCTGATGTTTGCCAACAGAGTTGTGCCCAGACTGTGCTGAGGGACTGTGACAAGATCTTCTCTGAGCTGATCTCCTCCATGCAGAGGAGGCATACAGAGGTGAAGCAGCTGATCAGTGACCAGGAGAAAACCGCCGTCACTCAGGCCGGGCAGCTTCAGCTGCAGCTGCGGGAGGAGATCACTAAGCTGAGGAGGAGACACACCGAACTGGAACAGCTGTCCAATGCTGATGATTACATCCATATGATTCAGGTCCATTTTTTTAGAGTTGTCTTTTTAAATGTGGTGTTTTTTAAAGTTATCCTTTTTTTTTTTTTTAGCATTTCCTGAAGTGCAGTGCAGCCAAAAAACATAGGTTGAGTGGTCAAAAGGTCAAAAGGGAGATTGCAACAAAGCGAATGTAGTAAACCTGTAGAGGTAGATTTGTGTATAAAGTAAAAGGGTGAATGAGAAATGGATGAACCGGGATGATTAATTTTGTCCTTAACAGGTGACAGTGTTATCACTACAATAAATGCCTAAAAAGACATTTAAATGGAACTGGTACAAGGATTGACTGATGTCTAAAATCCTTACAAACCAAACTCCTGGACAAGGTAGTGAATTAAGTTGTGAATAAGGTATTTTTAATCTTTTGACTTTGCCTCTCTCTTGGATTTTTCTCCTCCAGATTTTTGAGTCTCTCTCCACTTCCTGTGACTCTGCTGACTTTTCACCAGGTGCCGGTCCCCCGCGGTCCTTCAGTGGCGTGACTGACTGCGTGTCTGAGCTGAGAGATAAATTAGAGGTTGTCCTGAGGGACGCATGGCCCAGGATCTTGGCCACAGGTAACATGTTTAAATATACAAATTAGGACTCATACAGTGGCTTTATTCTTGTCAAATGATGTTTTTTAAAATGTGTCTTTCTCACAGTTTCCTACGTTGACTTCTCACTATTGCCCGCACCAAAAACCAGAGAAGAGTTTTTACACTGTAAGAAATTCAGTTGAGCTCCTTTACTCTCATGCATTAGTCGTCACCATTTGGGTTTATTGTTAATACTTTGTTTTCCTGACAGATTGCTGCCCCCTAACACTGGATGTGACCTCAAACTACCCCTATCTTTGCCTGATATGTGATAACCTCAGAGTGAGGCCGTCACCCAGCCCCTATGCAGCTCAGCCAGACCGGTTTACTCAGTTTCCGCAGGTGCTGTGCAGAGAGGGTTTGTCAGAGCGACGTTACTGGGAGCTGGAGTGGCATGCTCGCACTCTGTCTGCAGCGGTGGCGTACAGGGACATCAACCGAACAGCAGACGAGTCAAAGTTTGGAAACAATGACAAGTCCTGGAGTTTAGAGTGCACAGCAGACGGTTACTCGTTCCGTCACAATAACGTAGAAACAACGGTTTCAGGCCCTCGCTCCAGCAAGATTGGAGTGTATCTGGATTATAAAGCAGGCATTCTGTGTTTTTATCACGTCTCTGACCCGATGGTTCTGCTTCACAAAGTCCAGACCACGTTCACCCAGCCTCTTTATCCTGGGCTTGGGCTGAACTATGAATGGTATGATGTTGGAGTGTTTGCACAGCTGGTCAAGTTATGGAAGTAAAAATGTGTGTGCTAGTTGTTTTTTTCTGATGGAAAGGTTTGGCAGTCCCAAAAGACTAGAAATAAATAGATTTAAAAAATGACTGCAACTATGTGGTACATAGCTCCAGGGGAGAAATAGTAGAAAACATTACAGACAAAAGGGAAAGGGAAACATTTTCTTCTGCATTCTCTGGAAAAATGTTTTTGCAGACACACGCTTTTGCGTTGTACCATGGAATATTTAACTTCCTCTATCGATTGCCCCCCATTGGTAAAGAGATCATTCATTTTTAACAAGTTTCTGCTAGAAGAGATTTATTTTCTTCCTTTTGCTGACTAATAGACGGACATATTAGCAGGAGAAAACTTGCATCAGTCTGTTATTGTAGATCAAATGTTATCATTGAAGGAAGGTAACAGAGCGTAACCTGATAAAGCCTCCACCATCCTGGATTCAGTGAACCTACACAATTCCATAGTATGTCTATTTTCTTGAGAATGAGCTTTGTTTGCTTTATTTTTTTTGGTGGTTGAGTGTCACATTCATTAGTTAAAAGGCTTATCCAGGTGTTTTTTTTTTTATTTTTTTTTTTTTATCCCTGGCAAGAAAAAACAGCAACTTGCAAGTTATTGCAAGCGCTGAATCCCTGAAGTTGTTTTGAATATGTTGAAATTTTACATGGTCAAACTCACGTACACAATATAATTAAAGTAATATAAATGCATTGTAATACAGTGGATTGTGCTTTGAAAAATAAACATGATTGCATTGTTCTTATGGTTTTATTTCATCTTACAGCAAGAGGGGTGTCCTGGGTTTGAAGTTTGTGTGTGGACATTTGTCTCTGCCCCTGTAAGGCACTGGCAACTCACCCAGTTTGTAAGGCCTCTCGCCCAGTATGCACGGATGGATTTTCATGCACTGCACGGTGAAAGATAACAGTGACAAAGTAAAGCCAAGAATCTGAAAGAGCACAAAAACAACAAACAATTTCATAAACATTTACATTTTCTCACCCATCTCATGGCTCATATCCATAAAAAATTCCTTATGTTTTTGGAGCTTTTTTTTTTTAATTGTTTGGGCCCTTAATTCTGGTCTGAGGTTTATATTCTCTTTCTTTCCTTTTAGGCAAGGCAAAATTATCTGTACATCACCTTACAGGCACATAAGGAATTTAAAATACTTTAACATTAAACAAGATGTAAGGAATAAAAATCAATTAACCCACAAGAAATATGTTCGTCATATGTCCAAAAGTGTGTGGACACACCTACCTTTTTTTTGGTCTGGAGCACTTTGTCATGAATTAGGCTAGGTCTCTTTGTTTCAATAAGGGGAAATGTCGAGTCTATAGCATGCAGTGATATTTTAGACAATAGTGCGCTTCCAACTTCGTGACCAGTTTAGGGAAGCCCCTTGTTGTTTTCAGTGTCAGGCTTGCTCCTGAGCACAAAGCAAGGTCGCAATCAGACACAGGTGCGTCTGGTGTAAGACCTGGAGCCAGACTTCAAGCTGCATCCAAACACCTCCTCATGATGGACTGGCGAATTGCCCAAACTGTGAGCCAGAACCTATTCGTACAAACAAGTAATGCTGTGGCTGCTAATGCTCTTGGTGTGAATTGAGAAGGCAAGACACTTTGCTGCCATATCTGGAACTATCGTGAAGTCTTCACAAGGGACCCCAGCAGGAAGGGGGTTGGTGTATAGCTTGGCAGAGTAGGATTCATGCGCCACATGGTTCAGAGAATTCCCCTGACGGGGTTGTAAAATGTGTCCAGCATTGCGTCTCCATCGTAGTGCAATAAGGATTGTATTGTGCACGGGTTCTTCAGATATCTGAAGCTTAAAAGTATCAACTTACTTACTTGGCTCGATAACAGAATCCAAGAATTTTGTTTGTAGGTGCTCGAAAGCAGTTGTTGCTGGTAATATCATTAGGCGGTAAAATGTTGTAGTTTTTGGGTGAATAAAAACTAACACAGGATGAAATCCGTTTGAACAGGGATTGCCAGGGCAAGAGGCCTGTTCAGGTAGTGAGGACACACTTCCGGCTGACTACCTGGCTTGTTACAGCGACGCACGACATATCAATCAATTGGAGAGCAACAGAGAAAGGAGAAGAGAGGTGTGAGAAAGCGCTCCGCGCGAGGAAGAAAAGCTAAAAGAAAAGGAAGATAATATTCATTTAGCAAAGATTCAAGACTTCTTTTTTTGCCGGGCTCTCGGTGTCGCTCTTCTTTCTGGGTTGGGGGAATATCACAGTCGATCAATTGGGTAAGGTCTTGTTTCATTTTCCTGCCACTCATTCAGCAGATTGTGGTTGGTAACAAAACACTGCGGGGTTCCAAACTGGTCAACAAATCAATGGCAACCACACCAGCATTACTGCTACCCTGGTGCTAGGAGGGAAACTATCAACTTTTTGGGCTCGTTTCTTGAGGGGATCTGAGAATTTGCAAAATTACGCTGCAGTATGTTTCTTGAGAAATACAGTATGTTTTCAATTTAAGATGTGTGTTCACTTTTAATTTTGACAACCATGTGATTAGATCAAATAAATTGGCCAACTAAATCTGCTGTGAATCTATTTTGTTTGAACAGTTTTCTGTGTGAATGATTTTCATTTTGTGGGTGGAAACAGGTGTGTTTTAGTAAGGTGATGTGGCGGTGAGTTCACACGGCTGACAAACAAACACACTTTTTGATCAGGTCAGGTTTTATTAGGTCTGTATGTGGTTACTTGTTTTACAAGGAGCTGATGTTTGTACAGAAAACGATAATAAAAAGTTAAAAAACAATAGGGTGGGGAATAGGGGAAAGGAATAAACTTACAATCAATTCTGTATTGCTAAGGGAAAAAGAAAACAAACAGACAAACACAAT